GGTTACTGTGTACGGTTGTCGTAATATGCTGTAAATCATCGTTTACAGCTGCTGTTTACGACGAGCGTAAAAAGTTACCGTTTTTTGACGTATTTAGTTGGTGAACGGCCGTTTGCTGCCGAGCGTCATTGACCTGGGTCTTCTTTTTGTACTTGGCAATATTGTTAATTCATCTTTCACTCAAGGTTCAACTCACATCCTCAACTGCGTATGGAGTATCTATCGAAAAATTTTGTCTTGAGAATTTTTATTTATATTCACACATGAGTATAACATATTATGCGCTTCGAAATAAAATAACTTGATTTATTCATCTACCTTTTGCTTTTCGATATCGTTTGAAATATAAATATTATTTATTTCATGTGCAATATTAACTGCACACAAATACTCAGGTGAATCATTTTGTGCGCAACGTGTGCATTTTGTATAAATACGCTGACAATAGAGTGTACAATGAAGACATAAAAAGCAGGGGAAAAACCAAGCAACTTAACAAAGCCTATGAAACGTATAACGTTGTCTTGCTGGAAAGATTAAAAAAGTCATTTGGTAAAAACAAGCAAATAGTGTTACATACACGACTACCAATCTAATTAACAGATTGTCGACATAATATCATCTCCATATATTGGGTTTCATTTATTTCGTTCTAGTGAGTAACTTATTAAAATAATGCCAAAAGCAGAAACAAACTTATTGAATAGCACGCCCATACTAGCAAAACATCGATTGGAATGATTGATTTTTCGTTCGGATAATGGATTGATAGATGTTTGTTGGTTAGTAGACTCCTTGACTCACTGTGTTGTCCCTATCTCATATATAATTATTATTTTAATTTGTCATTATTCATTGAAAATTTATTTATATGACATAATTGGTTTTTTCTTGCTTTTTTGCACTTTTTTGTCAACTTTATACTTTATGTTTAGCTAATCTAGAGATGAGTATGGAACTATCAACATAATCTAAGTAAAAACTTCTTTGATATGGATTTGGATGACGAATGGCTAAAACATCAAGTTTTATCGACAGATAGAACGAAGAGAACACGGTTGCAAGATGTCCTTATCATTTGTCTGAACGATCGGAATGATAATGCCGAGCAAGAACATGAATTTACACTGCTTCCGACAGCAAAACTATTTGATAATGTAGATGAATGCTTGGATTATATCACCGATATACAAGAAAACACTCGAGTTTATCTTGTTCTAAGCCGTTTGTCATTATCTAATTCTGAAAAAATGGAGAGTCTACTATCAATTTTGCAGTCCATGACAAGCGTTCATCGGATTTATCTTCTAAATCATTCTGATGAAATAAAACGGATGCCAGAATTTCCTAAAGTAAAAAGTATCGTGTCTTTCGTACAATTGAAACGTGATATAAGATCAACTGAAGAACATATGTCACTCGCTTTCAGTGTGGTTAATGATAAAAGCATTTGCTCCTCACTACATGCTGAAAAGAGAAATAAACAAGAAGCGAATTTTATGTATACTCAACTATTCAAGCAAATCGTTCTTGCCACGGATTCACCAGTCCATGAAAAGCAGGAGAGAGCAGAAATGATCGCATATTGTCGAAGCTATTATACTGAGATTAATAACCAATCAGCACTGACGTTTCTTGAACGATATGAACTTGACGAAAGTCATCACTCGGCTATTTGGTGGTATAGTTGCGACGGATTTCTTTATAAAATGCTCAATGAAGCTTGTCGCATTCAGGACATAGAAACAATGTATGCAATGCGCGTGTTCATTCGAGATCTTCATCGAGAGATCGAGCAACTTTGTTCATTAGAACCTAGTCGTTCATCAACTTTGATTCTCTATCGAGGACAACAACTCAGCCGCTCTGCATTCAAAGAAATCCAATCTAAATCTGGAGGACTTTTGTCAATCAACAGTTTCTTTTCGACCTCATTGAAAAGTGAAGTTGCTCTTATGTTTGCTGGAGTGTCCGATAGTATCAATACTATTGCGATTGTATTTCAAATTATTGTACCGCCCGTAGACACTAAAGTGGTTCCATTTGCTAATATTGATTCGGTAAGTGCATTCGGAGGAGCCGAAACAGAATACCTTTTCTCATTCGGAAGCGTTTTCCGTATTGGTGATATCGATGAATATCCACACCCTGATGGAGAGCTTTGGTTTATAAAATTAACCCTTACTATGGACAAAGATCCTGAACTGGTCTGTCTCACAGACTACATCTGGAGTCACAATTTACATGGTCGAATTGATTTAAGTAGTTTTGCACGTCTTATGATCGACATGGGCGAACATGAGAAAGCCGAGGAAGTCTATTCAACATTACTAGGACAGCTATCCTACCGTGAAGATATGAATCGTTCGAATTTTACGCAATTAGAAACTGAATTGGTATGAGAAACGGTTGAATGAGTACATTACATTGCATGAGACCGAACGATTTATTACATAATTACACATACTACGTGTTAAGAGTGATTTAACGGACTCGTCACCTTCTACAAGTTGACATCATCTTTTGATGAATGCACTTATTCATTCGATCTTTTTTTTTTGTTCCTTCGCTGTACGTGTAAGTACTATTTCGAATAACAAGTGTATTCCTATGTCTGGCTGATCTTCTCTCTTTCCTTCCTCTTCTTTTCTTGAGAAATTGAATTTTTCAATTGCTTTTTTTTTCTTGTCTACTGCATAGTTAGAAACAATGTAGATTCTCTTGATTCGCTTTCCCTCGTTGTTTTCCACAAGAAGATAATGTAACACTATCCTTTTTATTCTCTTCCCTTGACTTGTATAGGTTTCAGTTGTTGGTCAATAAAGAAGAGATGATGTTTGTATGTGAATATTGATCATTAGTCTGCTGTTAACTATCGATGCTGTCTGAGATCTCTGTATCGCATGATACAACTGTGGTTTATATGGAGATTTTGTTAGATAAATTCTGTCTCATAATTGATAGGCTTCTGTAACAAGTACTACTGAAAGTGGGAAAATTGATATAATTGGAGATAGACGCATGATAGCCACTATACTTTTATACTTTTCTGTCGAATCTCAACAGTTCATTCTGGACATTGAAGGAAAAAAATGATTTACAGATTGAGCCAGAAATGTTTCCGACTCGGACGAGATTAATATGTATTTTTGACATCTAAAACTTTGTTGAAGAACAGTTGCAAAAATACTGAAAAAAAGCCAACTATGAGTTGCCATAGTGGATATGATATTCTTCGCACAATAGGTGCACTAAGATACAAAGAAGTGTAGAAGAATCTACTGTTCGCTTTTATTTTGTCTAAATAATATAGCTTCGCCACTGTATGCATCATGAAAGTCGTTCATCATCTGACTGTTTACACTTTCTATCTTGAAAACTAAGAACTCATCTGATTGAAGTTATCTGTAAATAAACTTTTGAATATGAAAGCAAACACTTTTCGAAAGACGAAACTCAAATCCCTGTAGAGAATCATGAAGACTACTGATTGGTAAACGTGCAATCCTTCGCAATTTCGAAGGATTATCTTCAACCATGTGTGGTAAACTTGGTGGTAGGACGGGTGTACCTACCGTATTATGTGATCAACATAGGTCCATGATCAGATAATATGAAGGGTAGGAAAAAAAAATCAAAATTGATCATAGAATATCGGAAGAGCTCTATCTAGGCTTCGTTTATCATCAGTTGGGATATATCAGACAAATAAAAGGTGACTGGAAATATGCTCTCGAACTTTATCGCAAAGCACTTGAATACATACCAGAGTCAGAAAGAGAAAGAGGCTATTCAACTGTAGCGACTCTGCTCTGTATGGCTCAAGTCTATTGCGACCAAAGCAATTGGAATCTATCTCTCGAATATATTCATCGTGCTCTTGCAGCAATAGATGCTCGAGATGAATCGATAAAGAATGTTTCCGTAGCGGAACAACAATCGCATTGTCTGCATATGATTGGAACAGTTTTCCTTGAACAACATCGGCTTGATGAGGCAGCCGAATACTTTGAACGAGCACTCGAAATTCGACGTCGAATTTTGCCCTCAACACATCCCTCTTTGGCTACTTCATACAATGATCTAGGTGTCTTGTATCACCGACAAGAAAGCTATGAACAAGCCTTGTCTGCGTATGATAGTTGTCTACAAATTCGACGACGTTCATTACCTGAAACGCATCCAGCATTGGCGATCATTTACAACAATATGGCTAATACTCTCTATTGGTTAGAACGAGAGAAAGAAGCAATGGAATTTAGCCTGCGTGCTGTAGACATTGGCACACATTCTCTTGGGGAAAATCATCCGATGACATCTACTTTTCGAGATACACTTGAAGGAATTTGCAGTGCAAATGAAGAAGATTGATAGTGCTACTCATTGCCTCTTTGTTTTTTAAGCATAGAATAATCTCACAAATATCTACCATTATCACTCTTGAACATTGCAGACGCGTATCATGAATACGAAATTGTAACGTACGAATAATTTTGAAGAAAAATTTTTAACGAATTCTGTGCAACAATACGGGTCGGTATAGATGTGAATGAGTTATTCATACAGACTGACACGCACCACTCAGAAACACACATACCCATGATTTGATTTGATTCTTTGTAGAAAATAAATAGATACAAAATAGGTAGATCCGAATGAGATAGAAAAAAGCTGAAAGGGATCATATCCTTAAGGCTTTTTTGTTTTATGTTATGACCACTTTACTCGTTCTGCATGGTACATCGGAAAGTATTGGATTTCGTACATTCAATCAGAAATTTTGACCATAGATACGTCTTTTCATCACTAGAATATCTCAAAACAAAATATTGGCTCTAATACATGTGCTCTTCTCCAGGATTATGTTATTTGTAAATTTAATGATCTCGAGAAGGACGCATACGTTTGAGATGAAATTTTTAGGACATTGCAGTAATGATAAGGTACATCTACGGACAAAAAACAGATCAAACGCAAGATATTCAATTCTTTCTGAAATACTATACAGAATCGTCGAATATCAAGAAAAAAACTAGATGAATACTCCCTTTTAGCTTTGTCACATCTCAGTGGACTTGTTTTATAGTTACGGAAGGTCTCAATTCAATGTATATATGTTTTATTTTTGAGCCTTTTATATCAAGAAACCACATGAACAATTTCATTGAGAATTTATCCATAGTTTCTATAGGACATCCTGCAGCATAATTATTGGCAAGACCAGAGAAGCTTTTAACGGATGGATAAAGCTTGACACTCATACTAACATTAACTATACATAATTACGCCTAGCAAACATGTTTCTCCAACGATCAATATTGCATCTTTCGAGAAGCTTTTATTTAAATATTCTTCTTGTCTTCCAAGAATGAGTACCATAGGAAGAGATGTTAATGATTTAACGCTTATAATAGCTTTAAAAATTGAACTCAATCTATAAAAATGCTGTATACTTTTTTCTGACTTCGGCTTCTTTTGAGATACACTGTATATATTTGGAGCGGAAAGAATTCTATAGTAGTTAAGATTAGAAAAACATAAGATAGACACGTTGAAACCTTTTCTATTTATGGATATAAACAAATTCGAAAGACTTTATTTAAACTTGTTGGCTGTGAATAATGTTTGGGTATGGTGGCGACACTATAATTCGATTGCTATCTAGAACAATTAGAGTTATTGCAATCATTAATTACGATTTCTATCTAAAAAGACAATAAAAATCTAAATTTCGTTCCACATATTCAAATCTAAAGTTGATAATTTAGATTTTAATTTATTGTTAAAGTTAAATAACTATATTAGACGTTGTTAAAAGATTTTTGGACAGATCTTGATTAATGAATATTCACCTGAATTCAGTCTTTTTAACTAAGCAAATTAAGTCAAAAGAGATTTTATTGATAAATGGATGAAAAAATGAGATTAGTGTCATTGATGAATATATAAAAATCTTTTCTCTGTGACTTCAATCATCTTCATCTTCGGTTGGTTGTGGTACAAGTTCAAGTGGATGTTCATGTCCTTTCTTTTCACATGCCGCACATATATCATAATTATCACATGTAGAACAACGATATCTATGACCGATAATAGGACTAAAGCTACATCCCGCGCATGAGACATCTTCCCATTCAAACACATCTGCCGTAGGAGGAGCCAATGTTTCTCCTTTTGCCCATATTTTCAAAGCTTCTACTCCTTTACATGAAACATCATTAACACCACGAGATGATAAAACTTTTCCATCTGATGAAACAATGAATAATCTTGGAATATCTTCAGAGAAAAGAACAATAATTATTATGTAACATTAACAAATAAAATAAACACTTACAAGAAGATGACATGAATTAAGTAGAATAGCAGGTCAAGGCATTTCTGAACGATATTCATTGAATGATTGATCATTGAAACCAGATGACACAAAAACTATACGAAAAGATAGAGAATTTGCTTGTGCTTCTTTATAAATTTCTACCAATTTTGGTGTTAAATCACGACAAGGTCCACACCAATGAGCAGAAAAATAAAACCCAACACTTTTAACACCATTTTCCATATTGTTTTTTTTTCAATCTTTTCTCCACTATTAGGATTAAGTAAATGAGGAACTGATCTGAAAAGTTGTTCATATGAATATTGTCGTCTAGGTACTAAATATTCAACGAGAGGATATTCATGTTTAGTTTTTGTTAGACATGTTTCACATAAATCTACATAACACTTTTGATCTGTAAAACCATGTCGTAAACCAATGATTGGACTCATAGATGGAACCGGTCTACCGGTAAAATACCGGTCTACTAGTAAAATATCGATCTACCGACAATGGATCAGTTGTCAAAATCAACTACTGCCTGAAAAGCACTTTATTTTTCCATCAAAAACAGCTCTGCATTAGTGTTTATGATGAAAACGGGAAAATGGAAAAGTAAGGCCGGTATCATACCGCTAATAGACCGGTTTCAGACCGGTAACAGACCGGTATCTTACCGGTATACCGGCAGACCGGTTTCAACCGGTATACCGGCCGGTCTAAAGTCAGGATCGGTACCGGATCGGACCGAACCGGACCGGACCGGCCGGTTCCATCTATGATTGGGCTCATATAACATTGATGAAAAATAATACCATCCCAAACA